AAATGAGGTCGAGGTCAGGTGAAAAATGTCTGACATGTGAAGATCATGCAAGTTACGCACATACTAAAAATAGTTATCATATTACTCATAAGAGAGAAATTTACATTAAAAAAAACTTTACTTTTTTCAAGTAGTCACTGAACCATGAAAATGGAGGTCAAGGACAATGGACATATGACAGACGGTAATTTCATAACATACGTCAACTATTTACAAAGTATGAAGGATCCTGGTCTTCAAACTTCTAAAATATAAAGCTTTTAATTAAGTAGTTAGTTAACTCCACCGCCGGATCACTATCCCTATATATCTCGCTTTCTGTGACAGAAGTCGCAGGCTCGACAAAAAACGACTAATATCGACACTACGTCTGTTTTACATTTACCACCATGAATTGGTCGACCGATACGATATATCTGTGTGAGTCTGTGTCTTCATATGTTTTATGAGCATCTATATTTTATGAGATGTGTGAGAAAATAATAATACATGTACATGTGAAATTAACGTCTGCTTAGAGGCAATTTGATATATCTAATCCTCAGTTGCTTATCAAAAATTAAAATGCATTTGTTGACGAATGTTTTCCAATTAAGGACCTGAAAAACTGTCACACATGCACGTGGATGGTCTAGTTGGAGAAGGTAATGTTTTTTTATGCCGTGTTCTTAGCGGAGAAGCAGCAATTTAAATGCCAATTTTAAAGTCTTTGGTATGACTAAAAAAAAAGTCAGGACCGAATAGAGTGAAAAATAAAAAGGCAGGACAGAGATTACAACTAAAAAAAAAAATGCAGGACAAAATTTTTCATCCTAGCCCCCCCCCCTATAAAAATCAAATGGCAGCTCCCTAAATAGTATTACCATAATGAAAAGTTTTACAACACTTTAAAGGTGATCAGAGAATCATGATTTCGACCATTAGTTATGGTAAATAAGTCAATAAGTTGCACCCTTAATCTTATTAAACATCTAATTCACAAAGAATCTACTGACAACGAAACATGTCACCTCATCCATGAAACCGAGGCTACACCTTTATTCTGGCCTATGTTATGAATGGTTCACATGTTGGTGTATTCTGCACTAAAGTTGAACTGGGATATCATATCTACCTCACAAAATATTGAATGTTTGGTATATTTCATTTATATAATGGTTTTGCCACGTCCAAGTCTGAAATATTAAGCAAAGCCTTAATTTGGAAAGGGACCAATGGATGAATGTACAAATCAACTTTACATAGACTTGTCGCAACAAAATGGAAAAAAATTATATCAGAATAAACTTGAGTAACATGCAACCATATGAAATAATATCAGAATATCAGTCATAACTGACAGTGAGTGTAATTTCTATTGCTCTTGGAGGTTCACTATATATATATGCTTTGTTCCTGGAGTGGCACCATCCTGTTTTTAATATAACAATTATATAAGGTAAAACTTAGAGTTTGTCTAGTTGTAAATTATGTCTTAAGAAAAATATGTCTCTGGTGCAACTCTTGCCTTGCGGTCATAAAAATTTGGAGTATGATTATATTTCTCAGACATCAACCAATCAAAATACTGGATTTGATGTTCCGAGTACATGCACATTTTGTACTCTAAAAACTGAGTAAAGTTTTATGACAATAGGCCCTGATCATTACTTTGACTGTTACACTCACAAATAGTTTGTTGTTAAACACCACTGTAGCATATTTTCACTGATATAACAGTAAAGGTTTTATGCCTTGGGATGATCAACTAGCTGCTAAAAGTGTTCTGGTTGACACTTTTTTATCAATATTGTTGTAAAATAACTGTTCTTAGGAGCTTTAAACAATGTTGAAACAAATTTCAATAAACATGTTGGGGCCTTTTGTAGCCAACTATACGGTATTGGTTTTTCTCATTGTTGAAGGCTGTACAGTTGCCTATAATTGCTTACATCCACTTCATTTGAACTTTGGTGGAAAGTTGTCTCATTGGCAATCATACTACATCTCCTTATTTTCATATATATACTTATCGATAAACAAACCAATGTTGATAGATCCAGAGGAACAACCCCTTTTATTTAGCTCTCTTTTTAAGTGTTTCTGGATATGTGGTCCAATCATAATAGAACTAAGAGAAAAAAACTAGTTTACACAAATTGTTTTATTAATATTTATTATTTATTAATGAAACAAATGAGAAATTTCCAAAGAAATATATATGAACTTCTACAGTTGTTCTTAAAGGAATAAATATCTTTCATATATCTACACTCCTCCTCAATGATTCCTTCTTACACTTAATGTAACAAATTGTTTTATTGAATGACAGTCAGCATTAAATTAGTTCGAAAGGACCTAGTTATAACATGAAAGGAAGGTCCAAATTCTTTTCTCCAATTCCAACATAGACATGTCCAAATCTTCTTGATCCGGGAACATGGAAGAAAACAAATCCATTCCACCATAGACTTCTCAATGTAACAAGTCCACTTCCTCTTTCAAACTGCAAGCTCCAGCAACCTAAACAAAAATTAGCGATTTCAGTGATTTATGCTTGCTTAAAAACTAAAGCTGTAATTCTGAAATTAAAATATTCAAAATCTTTTTCTGACAATTAAGGTATTCAAAAATATATGAAACAAACTAGAAAATTAAGTTGAAGCCAGCTGTAAGCATAGTCTTTGTCATTCATGATACCTTTTCTGTAAAATCATGGAATATACAATTCCCTTGTGTTAATATTACACTTCATTCTTTGCAGGTTCAGAGTTAAAAAAAACAAACAAAAAAACATCAAGCTTATTCAATGTTTTTTTTCATACATGCAATTCATGTGACACAACTTTAAGAAATGCATGTACCAATGGCTGTACTAATATCTGGACCATGTAATGTACAAATGCCAACATACCTTTTGGAATGTCCTCTTCAATAGTGTCTAAGAAATCTATTGATTTGTCAAGATTTGCTTTTTGTAATAAGGTCTTTTCAAACAGAGCTTTTGGTTCTCTGAAATGCATGTAGGAACAAAGTTTGGCAGCCTCTGAAACAGAAAGACCTGCAACAGAAAAAAGTATGATATTGTTTTAATCTATTGTGACAAAGTATATATATACATAATACCATTAAGTAAGCTTTAATAAAATAAAGCGGTTTACAAATATAAATTTGCTCAATCTGTCAACTCTTCAATTGTCTTGTTTTTTCTACATTGCAATAATTGTAATAGAGCCGTTTTCAATAGGTGAAGTTGAAGTACTCTCATTTCATATTTAAAGTGTAATGACAAAAAGTAAAAGTGCTGATTTAGACAGTTTTCTCTACATTTTTGTGTTCCTCAATTCATGAATGATGTAAACTCTAATTTAATACACATTTATCAAAGTACATTAAACTTAACTGCAACAACCAACAGAGTATTGCTATTTATGTTAAGAGCCTGTAATTAAATGTAAATGTTCAATGCTTGTTGCATATTCATCAATTTTGAAATTCAAATATTTTCTGTACCTTCGAAACATCTATTTGAGAGAGTTTCCCCAGTTGGTGTTTTAATAAAAGATGCTCTGGGTACAATTTTCACATCCTCATCAATTTCGGCAATCACTGATGACAGTCTTTCCTCTTCTTTTATCAAAATCTGTAATTAAGGACAAAAATTTATTGGTAAGAACACTAAATAAAAGTTTAAATACTTGAAGACTATTATAAATATAACTAAATTATTCACTTAGTTGAATTTTTGGCACCAGCTACAAAATTTATGTTTTCAATAAAAAGTAGAAAAAGAACTGAAACCATGTACATACTGTTTCTTCCTCTTCGTGACCTTCTTCTCCATCTGCAGATTTCTTTGTTTGTACATGTTCAAACTCATGTGAAGGATCTCCAGTGAATCTCCCTTTTGCCAATTTACTCTTTTCTCTCATTGCTTTTGTAGCAGGTGGGAGAAGTCCCCAATTTACACAATCTTTGCTGAAATAAAAATAAAAACACCATGTCAATAAACCTTTTTCCTCAAAAATGTAAAAGTTAGAAAGTGGCAATTAATTATGGGTAGATGTAAATAGTGTAACAACTGTAACTCCCATAAAGTACAAGGAAATAACAAACACTTTGAAAACTGTATGTTGACTTCAAAATAGTTTTGTATCCTATGGCCTTGGGTTGCTATCTCATTGACATTTACCACACTGTTTTTTAATTTTCCAATTACTAGATTTGTTTTTATGGAAAAATACTTCTGAAAGACCATTGACACTTTTTATGCTGTTACAAAGACATTGACAAATTTTATTTTCAAGTAGTCACTAATGAATTAGGTTCTACCTTATCAGTCATGCTTGGTTTATGGTGACACACACACATATTTATATATAAAAGGAATAATGTTTTTTTATAAGTTTTAATGCTGTCCTTCATCTTGTCACTTTATGGTAGAAGGCAGATGTGTTCAACCAATAATGAACATTTATGACTATACCTTTACTGGCATACCAATAGTAACAAGAACAGTATGCTCTTTTCAATTGTGACTGACTCTTACTCCATTTTTTGAGTTTAATATACCGAGTGGATACCTTCTAGATTTAAATTGGACTTACCTGTAAAGAGTTTTGCATTCAGCCATTTCATCTTTTTGAGTTCCCTGTGCAATGAAGTAATCATCTCTGATACCGAGAATTTTTCCCCAGAAATAAATTCTGTGAAATTTGTATCTGTTTTGCTGGATAACTAAGGAAGTTTGGAGTGCAGCTTTTTGTTCTGGACTAAGAACAGTGCCACTTGTTCCAACATAATCTATATTCAAGTGTAAATCTGCTGCTTCCATCTTTGTACTTGTTCAATTCTTTTCTGTGTCAATAAACAACTGTTCGTCTCCACCGTTTGTGAGTGTTGCCAAGGGAAACAAACAGGCCGGAACACTTCCGGATAAAAATACGAAAATCAGTATCATAATTGCGCTTTTTATATATGGAAAATCGTTCTAGAGCAGTAAACATGTGTATGAAGTCGAAGAGCAACAAAACAGAAACCAACTCAAGCATGGATTCAGAGGTTGAAATGATGTTTTGTACCCCGCCAAGTATTACACTTAACCGAAATTCAACTGTTGTACGGAACTCGTCTAAGTTTAATCGAAATATTTTACCTGAACTGGAGACTGACATTGACGATATATGGTCAGATCGACTCAAAAAGAATCCAAAACTTTACAATGCCACTAAATTTAGACTTGACACTACTGAATTAAATGCAAATAAGGTTAAACTAAACATCGGAATAACTTCTTATAAAGATTTTATAGGTACTAACTGGTCACCTAATGCTAAAGAACTTCAGAACAAAGGGGAGACAATCTTTAATAACCCACAAGGTTTCATGTCTGATGCCCTTGGAGTAGGAGCTCTACTTTTATCCTCAGATAATTATGTTACATTCCAAATGAGAAGTTTAGATTGTGGAGAAGCATGTGGTATGTGGGATATACCTGGAGGCCATGCAGAACCAAAGGTATAAAACTAAAGTAATCTTATCCTCACAGTGGTGAATCGATTGATTAAATGTATAAATTTAGGTACAAATCATGTTTATAGTAAAAAAATAAAAAGACTGGAATTACTAAGAAACAAACATAAAATTATTCATTACTTATCAAATTTTCATATTTATTTAATCACATTTAGTGCTAAGCTAAGACAATTTCTTATTCAACAAATAGATTTTTGTTTATATATTTATTTCTCTCAATATCATGAAAATTATTAACTTATACTTTCCTTGATGGGTTACATTTGTACATGTTATTGTTTTTTTAGCTATCCTAGGTTTTGATGCTTTCCGTTCTTCATTTGTCAAAATTCAATTGTGATATCACATTGAAAGAACAGGTCTTCGTGCAGATCATTGAAAAAGAAAGATAAAGACATGCCTACATGGCCTTATAATCCTTAGAGATACAGATTCCACCACTGAACCTCTAGACGATTAAACAAATGCTAGGCAATCTCTGCTTTTTAAATTTCACAATTTAACTGTTAAGAGTGGAGAAATGTAGAATCACAATTGATGCAGAGTTAGAATCTTTATAAATACAAAATTGCTACATGTACATGTAGAGAGGAATAATTTGGGTGCTAGAAAAGAAAATAATGAGCATCAAAACTAAAGAATAGAAAATAATGGGTATAAAAAATATAGAAAAGAATATAATGGGCATAAAAAATAAAGAAAAGAAAATAAAAGAAAATAAAAAGCATAAAAAATAAAGAATCAAAAATAAAGAATAGAAATTAATGAGTATCAAAAATAAAGAATAGAAATTAATGAGCATCAAAAATAAAGAATAGAAAATAATGGATATCAAAAAGAAAGAATAGAAATTAATAGCCATATTAAAGAATACAGAGATGAAGACCCACCATCCAGATAATGGTTTGAAAAAAACATCCCTGAAAAGAAATTTGGATAAAATGCATATATGACATACATACATTGTACATGTAAATGTTTCAAAACATTGTGAATAGTAATGACAATATTTCTATTTCAGCACTTTTGCAAAAGTTCTGTTTTCCCAATAAACGTCTTTTTAAACACACTTTATTACAACATGTACAATAAAATCAGATAACATATTTAGTATTGATCATTTATCTCTCAAGCATTTAACAGTTCTACAAAATGTTTCTGATATACATGTAGTAATAATACAAAAATGTATTTAAACAGATTCATGGTGGCCTACGGTAGGGTTGTTTTCTCTTTGACACATTCCCCATTTCAATTCTCAATTTTATCTCTTTTACTGCACGTCAATATGAATGAAAATAGAACATTTTATCTGAGACAATGTGTGGTTGTTCCTTGTATATATTACAAATAGAAAATATTTAAAAAACTATGTTTTGGGTGATTACTTAGGAAATGACGAAGAACAGGAACACTAAAAAATTTGACTCTCTTCTATTCGCTGTTTCTGAAGCTACTGCATTCTGGGTAATATTTTTAAAAAGTGTACACTAAAATGTTGTGATTGGTTTAAAACATTCTAAACAATGGTAATTGAACCAATGAAGTAATTATTTTCATTTTGGTGCATGAACAATGAGATTACCCATAGTCCCTTTGATTCTATAAAAGGGGAATTGCAAAAAGAAACTTTAAATAAAATGGTTAATTTTACAAACAATACTTATGTTTCATGACCGTCCTTCACCTCGATTTATGTATTCAATACAATTTGACGATACCAATAACACAGTTACAGTATATATACATTTATACAGAATCTTCATACATTGAAGATTCTTATAACTTACATTCTATAATGTATATATATTCTGATAAAAAAATAAATTATCAAGAAAATATGGTCATCTGCAATATGATTAAAATACAGATTTAAAACATTTAAACCTGCTGCATTTGTTTTCACCTGTCCATTAGACCGCTGATTTTCCTGTTTGAATGGTTTTACTCTAGTCATTTTTGGGGCCCTTTATAGCTTGCTGTTCGGTGTGAGCCAAGGCTATGGTATAATGCGTACTCTTTTTCTTTCTTTTTTATTTTAACATTATAATACATATTATTTATTCTGTTAGAATTATGTTTGTATGTTTCACAAAAAACTGTAACCTTGATTTGGATGACAACAAAACAATGAATGACTAACATGACTAACCTTACATTCTTTATACATATATCCTGTGCATTCCAATGTTAGATATTTCCTATGAAATGCAACTTTCATGCAAGCAAATTGTTCCTATGACAACATTGCAAAAATGCATAGGAAAACAAACGAATAATTTTATATAACTCGTACTGATTATAACATAAAAATGTAATTATTTTTTGTAATTTTAAAGGATTGTACAATCGTTGATCTTGCACACATATTTAGTATGAAGCACTTCCATCTTCATACAAAATGTGTTCTGACAGGTTAACACTTTTACACCCCAATAAAAGTAAAAGAAGAAGCATGAATTAAGTCCTTAAGGAAATATTTATTGGTAAATTTGATAATCATTGTATGAAATAACTCCTTTTCCACATTTTGATTGACTTTAATTTTGTATTTGTTTGTTCTTTCCAGGAAATTGTAGGAAAGAAACCGATGTCAGAAATAGAAATAGATGATATTGATCCTGAAAAAATAACCAATGAAATATATGACTCAATTCTCCGAGAGGTAGTGGATGAAGTAAATATTCCTATGAACTGTCTATCAGATCCACTTTTGATGGGGATATGTAGGAACAATACATCTGCTGGCAGACCTAGTGCTGAATTTCTTATCAGGTACAATGTCTTTTAAAGTTCTAATATTTTAATTGTTTCAGTTTACTAACAACGTTACTAAAGGATTAAACACATTTTTTCTAGAGATTATTGATGTGTAAACTTGACTGATTAACTCACAAATTGAGTATGGTAAATGTTGTTCTTTTTCCTGGAAAAAACATACCAAGTACGAAGGACTTGTAAGTACTGTTTGTGATCCGCAGCCCAGTTTACACATCTATAATGATTGATTTCATGCATGTTCAGGATGAACACATCTATAACCTATTGGAAAATGTGATTTATCCTAATAATTGTCAAGCCAAACAGTTGTTATTTTTTTCTTTCAATTTCAATTTTCTTGGAACCCCTAGATTCCATTCTTGTATCTCACATGAATATGTTACAGTGATATCAACATAGTGTTAACATAGCTGAAGGGAAAATGCATCAAAGATACCAGGATTATAATTTTGTATGACAGATGCACATTTTGTCTTCAAAAGACTCATCAGCGAGGCTTAAATAAAAATGTTTAAAGGCCAAATAAAATAAGTAATGAGCATTGAGGATCATAAAGTAGTTTAAGCAACATGGTCAATCAAAGTGTATATATAGGAAACAAAATTCTACAGACCAATCACATTCAAATATTTGTAGATTTGCAAATAATATATGCATGATCTATGTTGAATATGGTATCAGTAGTGTATGCAGCAATGAATCCACTTTGTCCATTCAGTAAACCTCAGCAGATTACCCTACATCAAATGAATAATCTGCATAGGTGTTTTCAAAACAACAACACTGTCATTACAACAAAATGTATATGTAATATTTTGACATGTCACTACACTGCTGCAGATCCAGGTATTTTAAAAGAGGGGGGGGGGTATTGCAGAAAATGTGAACAACTGTGCCGTGCATAGCAAGTCAAAATACATTTTGGACAATTTAATGCTTAAAAATAGTATATTTTCCAAACATGTGTCTTTTTAATGATAATATTAAAATTGAATTTAATTTCAGATGTAGTTTAAAGTCAAATGAAATAAGAGAATTATACCTACAAGGGAACCAAGCTGAAGCAGACGAATCTACTTGTATACGATTACTTCCCCTTGATGAAGTTTTAAACATGACAGAAGAACATGAAATGTGGAAGAATATGGCACCATCATCTAAAGGGTGCATAACTCTTGCTAAAAAATTCAAATTTTGATACCATTAACTTTAGTATCATTTCATTGCATAAAACATTTGAAAATGAACTACATGAAAAAAAAATATAGAACATAAAGTTTATATTTTAGGCTGAGTTGGGCATTTCAACAAATCATAATAACTCTTATAAATATATGTATTACTTGTTGATATCGATTTTGTATTTGTCATTTTGTTAATTTTACATTAATCACCAGATTATCTCCCTTTTTGTTGATAAAAGAGTAAGACGTAGTCTTTGATTTTTTTCTCAAAGAAAAACATATCAACCTCTAGTTATTTTATTAAAGCATTACAGGTTATTTAACATTATGAACAGAATATGTTAGGGGGGGGGGGAAAAAAGATTGGTTAAACCAATCTTGTTTATTTTTTTTTATAACTGTTTATTTGAAAGCTGCATGAGTTGTTTTATTTGTTATTGTATATTTTTTATATCTGGTGAAAAGCTCATCAGAGCTTATGTTCAAATGTTCGTCAATATGCCTAATCAAAATATGGTTTTACTAACTTACTTTTTTCTAAAACAAAAGAACTTTGTCGAGTTTTTTTTTTATTTGACATTATTTAATGTATTTTATTGAACTGTTTTTGAACTTTTACAAATTTGCAATGCATTTGATATTATTTATACATTTAGTTATTTAATATGTTTGTTATCACTATTTAATTTATTAACAACTTGCTGAAATTTGGACAGTTTGGATATGTTTGAGCTTTGTCATGATTTTGGTGATTATGAGCTTTGTTCAAATGTTCCCAATTTAGATCCTTGTCAAAATGTCTCAATTTAGAGCTTTGTCCAAATGTCCCTAATTTAGAGCTTTGTCTATATGTCCCCAATTTAGAGCTTTGTCCATATATCCCCAATTTAGAGCTTTGTCCAGATTACAGCCATATAGTGCTTGTCACATTGGTGTTGGTGCTTTACATAATTAGACCATATGGTGGCTTTTAAGATGTCCATTTTGGTTTATTGTGTTGTTGGGTTGCTTTTCTCATTGGTGTTTTCCAACGTCATCATTTATTCATATTGTCTAATCAGATTAGATTATGTAAAATTATTAGTATAGGAATAGTTGTAGTTTAAAAAAGTGTGATTTGAATGCAGATAAATACGCAAGAAGACATTAGTTAGGCCTGGGAAGAATAAAGTGACTATTTATCTTTAGAAAATAGTTACATTGACCTCCTGATTTCTACTATAAAGTTGTTCAATTTTCACAAGTGGTTAATTTTATGTTCATCCCCATATTTTTATATTTATTTACAGTAGAACTGTAAATTCAGAAATTATGTGTGCATTTAATATTGCGATTTTGTCATGACTGACCAAAAATGTGGGTATAATCATTGTGATAATAGGAAAAGCTGCATACAAATATATGTGATATATGTCAGATTTCAGAATGCAAGTTTTTATTATTGCGATTTTCACCCAATCGCATTATGCAATAATAAAAACCTCGCAATGATTTTTGAATTTGCAATAGTCAGTTCTTTTTGTCCTGTACAAATGTTGAAGGTTAACCATATTTATTTAAATGTATGACCCAGAAGCTTTGTGTTTTCCCAAAAGGGAGAATGGGGGCATAAAATTCAGTCTTCAAAAACTACATTTACCATGCGAAATGTGTGTCAAATTAATTTTATTTTATTTGAAAGGGATGGGGACATGCATGAGAGTCCTGGCATAAATAATCTCACAAAATCAGAGTTCAATATGTTTTTTTTTGGCCAGAATGATAGAGGGGAATAGCCTATTTGAGCACAGGCCAATATGAGAATAAATACTGTAGAATTCATACATATAAATGTTGCACATGATATTCTTGTTTGTTTGAAGTAATATTTTAAATCTTACCATTGTCATAAAAGTCTGTTTATTACATGTATATCATATATATTTTTAAATGTTATTTATAGTAATATTTTATACAGAAGGTTGAAATAGGATTGTAATCTAAAAAATAAATATATATTTTGTTACTTTTCTTGATATGTTGAGCCTTTGACTTTTGTCGCAGAAAGCTCGACATAGGGATAGTGATCCGGTGGCGGTGGCGTTAGCTAACTTCTTTAAAGGTTTATATTTTCCAAGGTGGAAGACCTGGATGTTTCATACTTTGTATATAGATGCCTTATGTTTTGAAGTTTCCATCTGATATATGTCCATTGTCCTTGACCTCATTTTCATGGTTCAATGACTACTTGAAAAAAAAGTTAAGATTTTTTGTAATGTTAATTTCTCTCTTATTATAAGTAATAGGATAACTATATTTAATATGTGCGTACCTTGCAAGGTCCTCATGCCTGTCAGACAGTTTTCATCAGACCTCGACCTCATATCATGGATCAGTGAATAAGGTTAAGTTTTTGTGGTCAAGTCCATATATCAGATACTACAAGCAATAGGTCTTCTATATTTGATGTATGGAATGATTGTAAGGTGTACATGTCCAACTGGCAGGTGTCATCTGACATTGACCTCATTTTCATGGTTCAGTGGTTAAAGTTAAGTTTTTGTGTTATGGTCTTTTTTTCTAATACTATATGCAATAGGTCAACTACATTTGGTGTATGGAAATATTTTACAATGTACATGTCAGTCTGGCAGGTTTTATTTGACCTTGACCTCATTTTCACGGTTCATTGCTCAGTGTTTAGTTTTTGTGTTTTGGTCGGTTTTTCTTAAACTTTAACCAATAGGTCAACTATATTTGTTGTATGGAGTGATTGCAAGGTGTATATGTCTGGCTGGCAGATATCATCTGACCTTGACCTCATATTCATGGTTCATTGGTCAAAGTTAAGTTTTCATGATTAAGTTTGTTTCTTAGATACTATAAGCAATAGGTCAACTATATTTAATGCATAGATTGATTGTAAGGTGTACATGTCTGTCTGGCATGGTTCATCTGACCTTGGACCTTATTTTCATGGTTCATTGATCAATGTTTAGTTTTCCTGTTTAAGTCTGTTTCTTAGATACTATAAGCAATAGGTCAACTATATTTGGTGTATTGAATGATTGCAAGGTGTACATGTATTTCCAGTTTGGTTTATCTGACCTTGACCTCATTTTCTTGGATCATTTTAAGTTTATGTGATACTTTTAGTAAAGCTTTATATTTAGGACTATCAACATAAAATCAATGGTCAGTAAAGAAGGCGAGACATTTCAGCGTGTGCACTCTTATTATACTATGCTGCTATTTACAGATATACTTGGCCCATTGAATGAGTTCAGGAATGCTACGGAACTTGCATTATGTGAGACAAATTAGAGGAGTCATTTATTTATAGTACCCGGTCATTTACAAGAAGGAAAGTTGATGACATGGTAATTTACTTCCTGGTTTATCATTTCTTCGACTGGTATCAAAGAGCTTACCATTCCAGTGATCATCTTCTCATCATTTGATATGCTTTAGTTCCATGAATAACATCTTAATGATTTTTTATAAGGAAGGCTGCACATGTTTGTTTCAAGATATGTTTCACTGTGGTGCCATGTTTTTATTTTTAAATTATCTACACGTGTCAACGTATATTTGTTCCGCCTAACAGAAGTTCCACTGGAAACTTTGTTATAAACAAGGTCATAATATCTGTTCCTATTGGAACAAATATTCTATACCATTTATTCCGTTAGGAACATTTACTGTAATATTTATTCCAGTGGAAATAATATGGTAATTTTTGTGCATTGCATAAAATGTACAGGTACATCTATAACAATGTCTTAATACTAATTCAATCAAGGAACCTTGCAACAACACATTGAGGGATCAGTAAATAAATTTCTTCCACTATGCAGCAATCATTGGAAGTTGAAATTTCCCACCATCCTTCCTGAATGACCACTTTATAGTACCTGATGTTTTGCTGTATTTTTTCATTTGTTCTAGTCCTGAATATTCATGAAATATTTGCCACTGGACATGTCCTTAACAATGAACAAAGACCCATAAAGTAAATTATCATAAAAGTAAGGAAACAATTTTCAAACAAAAACATGTACCAGTATGCAGTTATATTTATTGGGGCCTGTCTAACGCTATCCTAGTACAGTAACTTCAAAATGATATATACTTTTGGCATTCCTCACCGTTCACCTCAAATATACCAATAGAAATTCAAATTCATAAGTATTGTTTGCAATGAATTTCTATCTTTCATTTTATATGGACCATTAGAATTCACACATTTGTATAAAATGCATTCCAGTTTAGGAGGCACACTTGGAATTTCCAAAATGCTTAAAATTTATAATAACATACAAGTATCTTAGTAATCTTATAAAACCTCATATAAAAAAATACCACACTACTAAACCCTATTTGGTCTTTCCCAGAAAAGCATTGTCTGGTCTTTTTGTGAATTTAGGAATGATCAAGCAAGCATTGAAAGGAGGGATTCTAGATGTCAAAAACCAAAGACACAGGAGTAGCCTATGTTTTTCATATATATGAGTTGGTATACTGTTCTGGAATGTCTGTTTCACAAATGACAACAAAGGTTCTAATTGTAGTAACCACAGTCCTATCCTCTTTACCTTGAAAGTGACATACAGAATTAAACTTATCTCAGAGGTTGAACTTACATGAGCAACGCAAAGGATACCACATGTGGAGTAGGATCTACTTATTTCTCTGCAGCACCTGAGATTACCCCGTTTTTTGGTGGTTCATAATGCTCAGTCTTTAATTTTCTATGTTGTGTTTTGTGAACTGTTGTTTGTCTTTTCATTTTTTACCATGGCATTGTCAGTTTGTTTTCAAATTGTGAGTTTGAATATCCCTTTGGTATCTTTCGATGAAGTTGCATGCAAAGGTAAACTAGGTGTGCAAACCCTAAGAACACTTTCTTGGATAGGCAAGACATTACGGATTGAGGAAACCACAACTTTAAGACATCAAAGAAATTCATATGTTCCCAGTTACTGTGAGATAGAAATGACTTATCTAGAGTAGAAAAAAGACACACAGAGGAATATGTACAAAAAGTTTGGTTCAAATCAGTTCAGTGGTTTCAGAGTAGATTTTGAAAAAAACAAGCATTCTGAGAGTATTGCATGGCAATACATAGTCCCCTACCGGTTAAAAATTAATTGTACTGGAACAAAATGCTAACTTGATCTATAACTTGTCATGGTGTAAACTATATAACAAATATCAAGTCATTATCTTCAAGCATGACGAAAAAAAGTGCGGAAAACTGATAATTTAAGTGAATTTTCTAAGTCCAAGGACCATAACTCTGCAAAAAATCATCAAACCAAAACAAAATTCAAACTTGAACTGTAACTTGTCATGATAAAACTATATACCAATTATCAAATCAATATCTTCAAGCATGACGAAAAAAAGTGCGGTAAACTGATTATTTGAGTGAATTTTCTAAGTCCAAGGACCATAACTCTGCACAAAATCATCAGACCAGAACAAAATTCGAACTTGATCTGTAACTTGTAATGATAAAACAATGTACCAATTATTAAATCAATATCTTCAAGAATGACGAAAAAAAGTGCGGAAAACTGAATATTTGAGTGAATTTTCCAAGTCCAAGGACCATAACTCTGCACAAAATTATCAGACCGGAACAAAATTCGAACTTGATCTGTAACTTGTCATGATAAAACAATATACCAAATATCAAATCAATGTCTTCAAGCATGAAGAAAAAGTGTGGAAAACTGATTTGCCGGACTGACAGAAGGACAGACAGACGGACAGACAGACAGACGGACAGAGTGCAAACCTAAAGTCCCCTTCGACTTCATCAGTAGGGGACTAATTAATTACAGATGCCAAGTGATGGCAATAGCCACAAAATTGCACTTCCAAATTTAAATAACTATACAACTTTTAATTTCTTTAGTGAATAATTCCTTGGAGGAAAGTCAATTTTCAGCAAAAGATACACACATGAGTGCACACTATGAAATGTCTTTCTGATGATGATTGAACTTTATGTTGAAAGTCTTTTACATCAAGGTCTTACTACAAGTACAATGTATCTCATTAAAAGTCGACCAATAAACAATGAATATGAGGTTAATGTCAGATAAATACTGTCAGACAGATATGTACACCCTACAATCATTCAATATAGTTGACCTATTAAACATGGTACCTGTTAAATGTACCCACTTTAAAAAATACTGTAAGCATTGACCAATCAACCATGAAAATGAGATCAAGGCCAGATAAAACCCTGTCAGAAGGAAATGTGCAAATGACAACCATTCTATACACACATTTTTGTGTCTGTCCCAAGTCAGGAGCATCTGGCCTTTGTTAGTCTTGTATGTTTTTTTAATTTTAGTTCATTTATATGTTTTGGAGTTTAGTGTGACGCCCATTTTCATTGAACTAGTACACAATTTTGTTTAGGGGCCGGCTGAAGCCTGCCTCAGGGTGCGGGATTTTCTCGCTGTGTTGAAGACCCATTGGTAGCCTTCGGCTGTTTTCTGCTTTTTGGTTGGGTTGTTGTTCTCTTTCACACATTCCCCATTCTCAATTTTACTGAATGTAGTTGACCTATTACTTACATTTGAGAAAGGGATCAGATTATGAAACTTGTTGACCACTGAACATTGAAATGATGTCTAGGTCAGTAGAACTCTATCTGACCGACTTTTATACCTTGCGATGATTCTATATACAAAACAACTATGATTCCATCCTATTACTAATAATAACTGAAAAAATCATGCTTTTTTAAGAGGTGGTTATAGAACCATGAAACTAAGGACATATACCAGACATATTTCATACAATTAGACATCTGCATACCAAAAACAATAAGTACTAAAAGCTTGAAGTACCAACCAGGAACCAGCAATTAAACAGCTAAAGAGAACATGGCAATAGATTGGCCACAACTTGAGGAAACCTGTTGATACCATCACAAGACAGGCTTTAGAATGGAACCCTCAAGGTCATCGGAGACAGGGAAGACAATTTCACAGTTGGAGAAGATCAATGCTGAAGGAGCTGGAGATTGGATATACCTGGAGCGAAGCAAAAGAAACAGCCCACAACAGAGTAAGGTGGAAAGTAACTGTGGCAGCCCTATGTTCCACAAGGATTGAAGAGGACTAAGTCAAGTAGGTCATACCAGAAATAGATAATCCAGCTATTCTACCTTTTCAATATCAAGCTTAATATAAAAAGCAAACACTGATACCAATGAGCATCCTTATGTTTCATAAAAACAAATGAAAGTTTTTTGGCATTTTTTGCAAACTTTTTTATTGTAAGTCCTATTTCCTAGTTATTTCAGGATCATGGAAAAAGTGTTAAGTCACTTGCCTAATGAAAGTGATGGATCCAGTCTGAAAGATTCATAACGTCTTTTGGTTTTTTGTAATTGGGTTGATGTCTCAGTATCATATAACCAATGTATCCTTTTATTCATATCTAAACGACTGTGGAATAAAAGTACTACTAATATACTAGTTAATTATTTATTGAGATTTTGTGATACATTGTAAATGGACGGCCCATTAATCAATATTAATAATCATATTGCAAGTCGGATATATCGTGCAGCCATCGATTGTCAATCCACCAAAAAACCTCAATCCACATCAAACTGTTATACCCTTTATTTCATATAATAGTTGTCATACGAAAGTAGGCCGAATGTGTACAACACACTCTAATATGTAAAAAGTCAATAGCACTAAAAATACAATGTACGTGGAGAAAAATGTGTCTCACCTTTGAAATATGTAGAAAATTCCTTAAAATATGAATAAATAATAAAAATACAGATTATTCCAAAAAAAGTTTAAGATTAGTCAATTTATTCCGGTTTAGGATCGTTAATGTTCTTGAAAATGCAGTTCAGACAGAGGTTCTAAAATATACACAGTTACAATACAAGCAGCCACAGAAAACATGATTGTTCTAAGGGAGACAACTACAATTTAGAAGCTGGTCAAGATTCACACACGCTAAGAGCCATATTTTTCTCTTCCGATAGCTCTTTCTCTGTGGCATCCATCTTCTCTCTGGAGAAATCATTAATAGTTAATCCTTTAACAATTTCATAGGTATGATCTGGTTTTGTACGAACAGGAAAGCTGTAGATTAGACCTTCTTCAATATTATACGATCCATCTGAAGGGACTGCCATTGATACATATGTACCCTATAAAGATAATTGTAGAATGAACTTTTCTGGATTTTGTCCAAAATGTCTAAAAACATGAATAAGTGATTTTAACAAGTTTCTAATGCTGTAGTCAAATGAGCCCTCCCAAAATCGATAATAAAATACCAAATATCTGTACAGTAACAATGTAAATATTTTGTTTTAACTTCTCATCACTACACTGCTTTGTAGCAAACTCATATAGGTTATTTCATTGGTATAGTTTTAAGGTTAGATTGAAGATTCAAAAAAGATTTTGTATCCAGACTTCCCTACTTTCATCAAAAGACTGTAGGACATTTGGTGGAGGAGGCACTCAAAGTAATAAATTGTGGGTGGTGCATTTTCTATAGAATTCTGTAAGAATTAAAAGTGAAATAAAATGAAAATTTTATATAACGGGTGGTTGGGGTCTAAAAAAGTGCCTCCCATCACCCATGCTTTTAAGTGAAAAAGCTGTTCATGGGTGAAAGAACTCATTGTTTTATACAAGTAACTAGCTTATGGTAAAACATAACTGATTACTTCTATGGTATTAAATCATGCAAGTTGACTTACGTCTGGTACTCCATTCCACCAGTCTCTTACATGATCTACAATAGCTTTTGCTGCTGACATGGCACTAGATAATTTTCTAGCTTTAATAACTGCTGCACCTCTTTGCTGGACAGTCTGAAAATGAGAAAAATGTAAAATATGTAGAAATAGCTAAAAAAACTACCTGTATAAATTGGAAATTATTAAACAAAATACCTCTCTGCCTTCAACAAATTATTTGCAGGAAATCTTTAAGCAACCAAGCTAAAACAATGATATAATATAGAATTTCCCTAAAAAATACACTCCTGCAAAAGTCCAATTTTTAATCATTATCCTTTTAAATTGCTGAAACCCCTTATAAAATATCTGACACCAAGGATCAGGAAATTTTTATGCCCCCACCGTAGCGGAGGGGGCATTAAGTTTAACCCGTGTCTGTCAGTACGTCCGTCCATCCATCCGTCCGAACGTCCCAAAGTTGGTTTCCGTTTTCTAACTCAAGTTTGCCTCAACCAAATTTGATGAAACTTATACACAATGCTTGTTACCACAAAACACAGATCAAGTTTGAATTTTGATGGCGTCACTTTAACTGTTCTTGAGTTATGCCCCTTTACAAATGGAATAAAATGCTCCGCAGGGCGCAGCTTGATACGACCGCAGAGGTCGAACCCTGAACAGTTGGGGCAAGTATGGACACAACATTCAAGCTTGATACAGCTTTGCATTTGGATTGTGATTAAATATTTGACACAGCATAGGTTTCTGACACAGAATGAATGTGGTCTAAGAACTTAAAAATTTTAAATTGTACATTCACCTATTATGGTCCAATATCCAAAATCTAAATACATGGTTAGATTCAGCATATCAAAGAACCCCAAGAATTCAATTTTTGATGAAATCAAACAAAGTTTAATTTTGGACCCTTTTGACCTCAATGTGGACAAAGTTGATAACGGGGCCCAAAATTCAAAACTAAATACATGGTTAGATTCAGCATATCAAAGAACCCCATATATTCAATTTTTGTTGAAATCAAACAAAGTTTAATTTTGGACCCCAACTTGGACAAACTTGAAAACTGGGCCCATAATCAAAAATCTAAATACATGTTTCGATTCAGCATATCAAAGAACCATTAGAATTCATTTTTTGTTAAAATCAAACTAAGTTTAATTATGGACCCTTTGGACCTTAATGTAGACCAATTTGAAAACGGAACCAAAAATTAAGAATCTAAATACACGGTTAGATTCGACATATCAAAGAACCCCAATAATTCAATTTTTGATAAAAATCAAACAAAGTTTAATTTTGGACCCTTTGGACCTCAATGTGGACCAATTTAAAAACGGGGCCCAAAATCCAAAAACTAACAAGAAATGATTGTAACAGGATGCTGTTAACAAGTCTCCCAAACGAAGCTCCCATAATTCGAAATTTCCAGTGTCGCCTGACATTGGACAAAGTCCAGTGAAAATTGGTTTGGTCCAGTAAAGTATATGCATTAGTGATGCCTGAGGACTAACCCTGTATATCATTCAAATCATCTTGGCATGACAAACCAGAATATATATGGTTTAGGGGTGGGGATCTCGACCATTTACAAGATACTAGAACATTGGGGGTGGGGGGAACCCCTGGGGACTGACCCTATACATCATTCAAATGTTCGAGACACGACGAACAGGAATATATATGGTTAAGGGGTGGGAATCTCGACCATTTACAAGATATTAGAACATTGGGGGTGGGGGGAACCCCTGGGGACTGACCGTATACATCATTCAAATGTTCGAGACATGATGAACAGGAATATATATGGTTTAGGGGTGGGGATCTCCACCATTTACAAGATATTAGAACTTTCTCAAATGGCAGGGGGTCGGGATGACCCCTGGGGACTAACCCTGTATATCATTCAAACTATCTTAGCATGACAAACCAGAATATGTATGGTTTAGGGGTGGGGATCTCAACCATTTACAAGATATTAGAACTTTCTCAAATCGCAGGGGGTCGGGATGACCCCAGGGGACTAACCCTGTATATCATTCAAACCATCTTAGCATGACAAACCAGAATATATATGGTTTAGGGGTGGGGATCTCAACCATTTAAAAGATATTAGAACTTTCTTAAATGGCAGGGGGTGGGGGTGACCCCTGGGGACTAACCCTGTATTTCATTTAATGTGCTTTATCATTTAGAACATTTTCAATTAAAAAGATTGTGTCTATCACAAACTATTTTCAATTTATAATCATTTGAAAATTTAAAAAAATAAAATCCCATAGGGTTCTATAGTAAAACCCTCCTTTCTTTTTGCCCCTCAAAGTACCCCTTTATAAACCCCAATGCACAAACAAAACCCTGATTGCACCACTAGACATGTTAATCTAGCATATTGTGAAACCCTAAGTTAATCTGACAAGTGGTTTTGGACAAGGGTGCGGACAAGTTCAAATTTAAAAGCGGCGGAAGAGGAAGAAGAAGAAGAAGAAGAAGAAGAGGAAGAATAATAATAATAATAAGAACTGAGCAAAATCAATAAGTCTTCCCAAACTTCGTTTGGGAGACTTAAATACACAGTTACATTCAGCATATTAAAGAACCCCAAGAATTCAAGAATAAAACCCCATTGAAATTGGTCAAGAAATAAGCAATTTATACGAAGTATCTTCTTTTGCACAATACTGTGCAATTAAATATTTCTTGCTATTGCGCAATACTGTACAATTGACAATTTCTTGCTATTGCTCAATATTGTGCTATTGGATATTTCTTGCTATTGCACAATACTGTGCAATTGAAGATTTCTTGCTATTGCACAATACCGTGCAATTGAAGATTTCTTGCTATTGTGCAATACTGTGCAATTGAAAATTTCTTGCTATTGCACAATACAGGCCATAATCTTGCCGGCGAAATGACGATTTAAGTCGCCTAAGAATTTTGAAAATCGCTTAATCTCGCCAGCCGACTGACTTCATAGCGAAGTCAAATCGCTATCAAAATCGGTAAAAGGGAGACAACTTGTGATTGACAATTCTCACAGGTAAAAAAAATGGCGACTGACAAGGAAAATCGAGATTTTCGAAACGACCCAGGACTAATACTGTGAACGATCAAATTAAATGAATACAACGGCGACTTTGAACATCATCGGATAGAACTTTCAAAACTATTCAAACGGAAAACTGACCGTCTGTTTAAGTTATCATTTTAACGATGATTTTCATCTCAGGATGTTGCGTAATCACTCAGCTGATTTGTTTTATTTTATAACTTACACGAGTCGATCAATTTCACTATTCGGTCGGTAAAAGGTGGGAATTAACGGTAGATTTATTATATTGATTGAATAAAAATTGAAATATAAAAGGTAGAAAGACTGCTGATGGATAATGTAATTGCAAACGTACGACACTCGACCAGGTTGTGATCAGCGGTGGATTTTTTTCTCACGACCATTTCGTTGATATGGATGATATTTTTTAAAACTGATAGAAATTAGCTCTTTGTCGGATAATTAATATGCGATTGAAAGATATTTTCATTTATAGACTTACAATATTTAACGATAATCTCAATTTACAACTAACATAATGTCCTGGACATTATTGTATTACAAAATAATGACAAGTGGTGATATAAATTAAATTCCCAGTCATGTGAAATTCATCAGGTAAACTGGGAGTTATATTTTTTCTGGACTTTTAAAAAATAAATTGAGGCAGATGCACATGAATTTAATGCATCATAATCAATATTACTAGGCTACTCCCTCGTGTCCCAATCAACAAATTTTATTTAGAACACAATGGTATCAATAAATAAATAACAACTATATATTGTCAGAGACATATAATACAATTATTATATGTCTCTGATATTGTCAAAACCTTTTTATTAAGAACTTTCTACATATACATTGTGTACAATAACATATGAAAAAAACTGCAAGTATATCTTTTATTGAATATAAAACAATTTCCTTAGTGATAACCATGAAAACACTATGCAACCGAAACGGTAATGGAATCTCACTTCTCCAAAAAATTGACCACTTCTCCCTTCTCTCTCTTGGAAGGAGAAGTCACTTCTCCCTCTTCAAAATCCTAGATTAGGCCCTGACAATACTTATTATATAATAATTTACACATCCTGTTTGGTGTGTATCTCCTACCATATCATTATTATTTGCTTTTAAATATATATCAGAAATAACCAACTTAAAATGGAAAATTTTAAAAGAAAAAAAAAGGAAAAAAAGAAAAAAAAGAAAAAAAAAAAAATCCCTCCCCCCCAAATTTTTTGAACCCCCTTATGATTCATCACCCCCAAACTCAATCCCAGCCTTCCCTTTGTGGTATGGTACCTTGCAGTACAATTTCAGAGAGATCCATACACTTGAACACAAGTTATTGTCTGGAAACTAGAAAAATGTGTTTTTTGGCCCCTTTTTGGCCCCAAATTTCTAAACGTTTAGGGCAATTACCCCCAAACTCAAACCCAGCTTTCCCTTTGTGATATGGAAACTTGTAGTACAATTTCAGAAAGATCCATACACTTACACACAAGTTATTGTCCTGAAACTAGAAAATGCTTGTTTTTTGCCCCTTTTTGGCCCCTAATTCCTAAAATATTGAGGCAATTACCCCCATCATCAATCCCAGCCTTCCCTTTGTGGTATGGTACCTTGCAGTACAATTTCAGAGAGATCCATACACTTGAACACAAGTTATTGTCTGGAAACTAGAAAAATGCTTATTTTTGGCCCCTTTTTGGCCCCCAATTCCTAAACGTTTCGGCCATTACCCATAAACTCAATTCCAGCTTTCCCTTTGTGATATGGAACCTTGTAGTACAATTTCAGAAAGATCCATACACTTACACACAAGTTATTGTCATGAAACTAGAAAAATGCTTGTTTTTTGCCCCTTTTTTTGCCCCTAATTCCTAAAATTTTGAGGCAATTACCCCCAAAATCAATCCCAGCATTCCTTTTGTGATATGGAACCTTGTGGTACAATGTCAGAGAGATCCATACACTAACACACAAGTTATGTCTGGAAGTTACAAAAATGCTTATTTTTGGCCCCTTTTTGGCCCCTAATTCCTTTACTGTTGGTACCATAACCCCCAAAATTAATCCCAACCTTCCTTTTGTGGTATTGAACCTTGTGGTAAAATTTCATAGAGATCCATTCACTTAAACTAAAGTTAGAGTGCGAAAACCAATGTGTCTTCGGACGACGCCAGACGACGACGACGACGACGCCAACGTCATACCAATATACGACCACAAAAATTTGTTTGCGGTCGTATAAAAATCGCTGAATTTTTTGTTTCCGTTCTCTAACTTTAGTTTGCCATAACCAATTGTTATGAAACTTATACACAATGCTTATTACCACAAAATGCAGATCAAGGTTGAATTTTGGTGGTGTCACTTTCACCGTTCTAGAGTTATGCTCGTTTGCCATGGAAAAATCCCTGAATTTTTCATTTCCGTTCTCTAACTTAAGTTAGCCTCAGCCAAATGTTATGAAACTTATACACAATACTTATTACCACAAAACTCAGATCAAGTACAAATTTGGGATAGCGTCACTTTTACTGTTCTTCAGTTATGTCCCTTTATAACTTTATATGATATGCAAGCTGGGGCATCATCTGTGTCCCATGGACACATTCCCCATTTAGGTAGCAATACACAGTTAGAAGTTTAGTTTCGCATTATGGCCATGGTGAATTTTTTAAATATGAAAGTTTTTGTACAATAAAATTGATTTTTAGATAATTGAAGAATAATATAGCCTTCTTAGTGGGTTTATATGAACATTTAGATTGTTTTTAGCATGTTTTATAGGCCATTTTTCTGTTTGACAGTCCGTATTTTCCTATCCGTACCGCCCATAGGTCCATAAATTATTGTTGTGTTTATCAACAAAGATTTTGCGCTCGATCTTTTCAATTCAATTTTATGGAAAAACGAGCAGAAATGCATATGATTTTTTTTGTAGATAGATAGATATATGTCTGTGGATTCAGGAAAGGTATCACTGTAATTGATTGAAATTTTCCTTTGGACCAAATTTTGGAGACTTTTGTGACATGTTCACCCCCTTTTTTTGCAATATTTTGTATCAAAGAAATGCAGATTGTTGCCATGGTTACACCCAAAAGAGATTATATTTCACCATTATAACCATTAGAAATCAAATCTATGGAAGATTTTCTTTCTATAAATATACACATGCATAACACAAATATTAAGCCTTATTTGTTAGAAAGGAAGGGAAAGAGGGTGTTTAAAAATTATGAGTGTCAATTTTAAGTTTTTTTTCTAACTGTGTATTGCTACCTTATTTCACACAAACTCGGTCAGTTTCAGATGACTTAAAAGTTGGTGCCTTTTTTTCAAATTGTGGATATCACACTAGAGTAGATATTCATAGCATCAACGAACTTGTATTGACTGTTTCATGGCATTTACTTCGTGAATTTTCTTACCATTTATCTAAAAACGTTCAAGAACTGTTTAGGGAAGGCAACAGTTGAAAATTGAAATGATTTTAATGACTCAAAATGGTTATTTCTCAGACATCGCTAACGTTCATTGTTTCTTACGATTTTGTAGACGAAATTAAAACCGGAAGTTTTGCAACAATACTAAAGTACGAGTAATTCCGGATTCATTTCGGAGATTCATTTTGTTTATCAAATTGACAGGAAATCACCGGCTTTTTAATTTTATTACCTTTGAAAGTGTTTCAATATAACAGATAATAGTTGCACTTGTTTAATTTAGCATGAAATCATTTTGCATTTTACGATTAAGTGTCTAATCTGGAGAAGACAATTTCATGCATGAGTATTACATAGTAAATAAAGCACATGTGTTACTCGTGAAAAATTACTTTTTTCTACGTAAATTTAATCAAGTTTTAATTTTGAAATCAGAACAATTGAATGTCTTTGCTGAAAAGAAATTAATAATGAATACAGTTGTCATGGAATTTTAATTTCTTTATGATATTAGTTCTGAGCTTGTGATCAATGTCAGGTGTGACTTAAAAACACAGGTAAAAAGTGATTAGCGATCATTAGCCAATATTTCCCGGAGGCATTAATATAGTTATTAGGAGGGCCCTCAGGATTATCAAACTATACTGGAGTGGCAGTTTTATTACAGGAAAGGGATTATAAAACAAAAATAAGTGAAAAATGGCGATAAAGAAACCCTATCTCAATGAAATAACAGATATTATTTCTGTAAAAAAATAAAATTTGTCCTAAATCCCAATATTTCTTTTAGGACAAATAGCTTTCAGTTTAGGTCATGACTGGCAAATATGACTGTTTCTGGACCTTTGTCTGACACACTTAGTCTTCATGCGGTATTAAAATAGTAAAGCACCCATTTCCTTATGTGGTTATAACATACCTTGATGAATTCATTGTTTAGCCAATTATCATCTTTTACAGCTTCACGTACTGGCATGGTCTTTCCATTTAAGTCTACGACGGCTTGGTTGACATCTGGATATTGAGTAGATGAATGATTTCCCCAAATGACACAATTCTTCACAGAACTGTTACTTACACCTAGCTTAGCAGCAATCTAAAAAGCATATTAAATATATTATTATCAGACTTAGATGATGTAAGCGATGTTAACAGCAAATACATGTACAATACATGAATTTTCATGTTTTTTTTGTCCATTTCTGTGACCTATGCCATACTTTAGTGTTTTTTGGCAAATAAATTTTGAATAGAGTTTCTGTGATGTTCTGTCTGTCCTTTTGACACACTTCAAAATAAAACAAAAAAAAGCAATGTAAGATGATTTATATGTGTTTTAATTTAGTAGCTTTCATGGTAAAACAGCAAAGAAAATGATGAAATGCTTTGGATAAGTCTTAACTGATTAAGTGTTAAAGAGTTACACACTAGTGCTTGACCATTAAAATGGCCAATCTGATCAGCACTGAAGATTTAATCATTTGTGCTCCAGCAATGTTTGGTTCAAGTTTGATTAGTGCTAAACAATTACAAACATGTTCTATTGCAATGTTTTGTTAAAGTTTGATTAGTGCTGAAGAGTTACATACTTGTTCTTGTGCAATGTTTTGCTCAAGTTTGATATTAAAGCGCATGTAAGAGAAAAAAAAACAAAAATCATCTTATTTGAGCTGTAAAGCTAAATAGTCACAATTTGACCCAATCTTAACATACATGACATACCTGTGCTTGTGCTCTGTTTTGATCAAGTCTTGTCAGTGCTGTAAAGTTTGCTGGGTTAATGGATGGTGCATATTTCTTACAAATATATGCATTGGTATTGGCTGGATTTCCAACAACTACTACCTATAAAACAAAGAAAATGTTAACTTCAATAAAAAATCTGATCGAAAACAATTGTAGTATTGATTAGTTAAAGCAGTTTAACACCCCTAGTTATTATTTTTTATTGAGGATGTATTTTCCACTTGTCAGCAGGCATAGGCTAAGTCAAAGTGAGGACTAATTTTCTAAAATAACATAATACTAAGTACTTAAAAGATCAATAAAAAAACAAGTATTAGAATGAAATATTTTGGGTGTACTATCTGAATTTTTACATGAAATTGCATGCACAGTTGTGCAAAGTATACCCCCACTTGTTATAGACATTAAAAAAATTCAATACTATTAAGTGGATGTAATAAAATTTGTAGTATCGTCAAACAGTTAATGTGGTGATCAGATAGATCTGAAAATTACTTACATGGTGCAATTTATCTATATTAAGTGAGAGTTGAGCAAGTTTGTGTAAAAGTTTCGCAGAATTTTGTCAAAAGGTTTAAGAACAGAAGTTATAACAGTAGAAAGACCAATGATCACAAGACTGAACAAACACACACCACATCACTATACATTGCCCTGTATACATCAATCCAGGAACTAGCTCTGCTCCATTGTCTTCTAATAGGAAAAATTCAAGTTCTGTTGCTGCCTTATGACACATTCACAGAATTAAACAAAAGAACACAGTTCTGATTCAGATCTTTGACAATTTCACCTTTTCTTAAACTCTGGGTCACTTAGGAGCTTGACATATTGTATAGACCCTTGAAAATTGTTAAAGACTTTACTGCTTAATGTTGACCTCCCGTTGCCTTTACAGTGTTTTCTATCATTTGATTGCCGTCTCATGTCTGTAATTTCATCCTACCTTGATATTTTTCTTGGCCTGTGTATCAATTGCATGTCCCATGGATTTAAATATCTTAACATTAGCAGCTAATAAATCTTTTCTTTCCATTCCTTCCCTTCTAGGCATGGCACCTACTAACATTGCTACATCAACATCTTTAAAAGCCTCCATTTCATTAACAGATGGAATGACCTCTACAAAATAGACATCCAATTAACCTGACAAATTGCAATTTACATGATCTACAGTTTCACATTTTTAAATTTTGTGTTAAATTTTCTTATAAAGATAACAAATAACATCTAATAATGGGAAAGAAGGGGTATGGTGTATTTATTAACACCAAAATCCATGCATCCAAAAGCAAAGGAACTGTGAAATTATCTCAAAGTATCAGTGATTGTTGTCATTATATTAGTCTGTCACTCTGTGGTCTTTATTCTTGCAGGTAGTGACTAAACTATTAACCTAAGTGCATGATAACTTATCAGTTCTATGACATCCAATGTTTAAAAATGTTGTATTATTAATAGACATTGTACCGGTAAGTTTATTCAATAACAGCTATAATTATGTTGTTCTATTCATGTCAATGCAGAATTTTATGATTTTGTTCTTTATTTTTAGGCATCATTCACAATGCTTTTAAAAATCTCTTACCCTTTTTCTTTAAAAAAAAATTAACAAAACAAAGTGAAAGAAACTTAAACACGAGTGTACATAATAAAATGTCTCGCCTGCTTTACTGACCATTGATTTTATTTTGAAAGTTTTAAAGATGAAGGTTTTATATCACATAAACTTAACACTTTTAAAGATCTATGACAATGAGGTCAAGGTCAGATGAATCCTGTCAGAGGCACATGTACACCTTACAATTATTCCATACAGCAAATATAGCTGACCTATTGTCATTGAAAAACAGACCAAACCACAAAAACTTAATACTGCCAAATAAACCATGAACCATGAAAATGAGGTCAAGGTCAGATGATACCTGCCAGACAGACATGTTCACCTCACAATCATTCCATACACCACATATAGTTGACATACTGCTTTTAGTATCTGAGAAACAGACTTAATCACATAACTCGCCAATGTGGCGAGTGATATATCAAATACTTCAACTGGCCAGAAAAAAAATTCTCTGGCCAGTTGAAGTATTTTGACAGTTGTCAAGCCTTTTATTGTCAAAGGTCCATGAATTTTAAGTCTGTTGAACCAATTTTAATGTGCAGTGTTACTAAAAATGTTATTCCTAGCTCTTAAACAGTTTATTTATCGCGATTGGCAAACTAAAACATTATTATGATGACCTGACACTTCATTGAATCAGTATGCTAAAACCTACTATACGATCCCCAACTCGCAGATTTTAATTTCTTGACATGACTGAAATAAACGTATTACATACAGTTGGGTATCAGTCATGTCAGTGAGTTACAAATAAAACATTTAATATTTATTTTACCTTCCTATGGTCCATGTATGTTTATTTTAAGCAAAATACAGGATGGACATTGTATTTGTTGACCAGATTTGAAAGCCATTTTTTATACTTTACTGAATGTTCAACAGTTGATTCTGGAGGGTAATTATGAAATAGTAATTTCAAAATGGAATAGTTTTTAAAGCTAAATAATTTAAACAAACAAAAGGAACTAAACAAAAAAGCAAAACCAGAAACTAGACATAAAAAGGCCTTTGGTACAGAACAGTGTAATTATTCATGTTTTTTAAAATAATTATAGTAGAAGAGGCTGCTCAATAACTCCAGCATTTGTAGTAAGATTTATCCATAATCACTGGAATAAGGAAGTCTGGTTATGACAACAAAAAAAAACTTTTGACTTGTCAGTTGCGGTAAAAATGTATTTGAAACCCCTCTTCTAAGGTAATCACAAGATGAATTGACTGCTCCCTTATATAACTGAGACTACTATACTTAAATAGTAATTCAAATTGTCAACTTCAACTTTTCAACTTTTTATTTGATCACTCAGACACAATACATACGTGTAACAAGTTACATGTACCAGTCATATAAAGATTAAAATGATGAACATAAGTACATGCATTTAGTAAGTGGAATGGAATATGTTTTAATAATTATGTATGTAAAAGACGGCGAGTTCCAAAAGTAAATCGATCGCCAAGCTGGCAAGTGGAATTTCAATTTGGCGAGCTGAATTGAAAAGCTTCTCCCCAATTTGACAAGTAAGGAAAAAAAAAGGTTTCACACACTGAGCATCCAGGTCTTCTACCTTCTGAAAAATTAAGCTTTATACAAATAGTTTTAGCTGACGCTGCCTGATAGTAATCCCTATGTCTCGCATACTGTGACTTTCGTCTTTCGGCAGAGGCGAGACAAAAATCTGCTACATGACAGTGTTCTCCTCAGAAATTTCTTATATCATCCTGGTAAACAGGATATTATGAAATACCATCTTGTTTCTAGAAACTATAGCATCACACCTATAACACTATCTATAAGAAACTCATTTCAGATAGCATCACATTCTAGCAATATAGCATTACATTACCATGATGCTAAAAGGCCCTGGGGAAAACACTGCATGTATGTTTACCTTTTAGTAATGGAAGAGCACAATCCATCATCTCCATGACAACACCTTCTAAAACACCCAACATTGGTTGAATATCCAGAAGAACAAGGATGATTGGCTGAAAAAAAAATCAACTTTATCATGTTTATTGCATGACAAACTTATACCACAGAAACCAGTTATGAATTCCTTTTCATAGAAGCCAACATTCATATAGTGGGCCTCAGTGAAGATTAGTTTTGTAGCTAACTGTGTAACCCTCTTTGAATAAAGAATTATTATTATATTATTATAATTATCCCACAGAAAGATGAGGGTCCAAGCAAAGGGTAGTATCTAGAGAGTGGGTAGGATAGAGAAAGACTAGGTAATCAAATGTTCAGTGATGTTATATGATGTTAGTGACGAAAACTGTTATATAACATTTACCTTAAACGATTTTGTATTGAGTCAGCAAGCAGTATATCTTTTCAAACACAAATGTTATTTAAAAGATAGGCTATAAAAGGGGACATAACAGCAACATTTATAGAGCAAATTTTATTAATTTGTTTGCATCAGTTATAATTATCTATCATATTGTGTAAAGGTACAGTATATAACAAAATGGTTAAAACTTAGATTTATTATTATCTTGTATATTTCTGATAATAAAAAAGTATTGACATGATGGATACACATCAACTGATGTTCTCTGGTACATATATTCAAATTTTCAGAACTTTTTTTGTTGAACAGGCAGCATGTGCATATCTTTCTTACAGTAGTACAGACACAAAGGAAGTTTAATTTTAGAAGTGTAATAGAACTTAACAATATACTGTGTGTAAAAATATACTTTACCTGATTAGGTCCAAAGACATCTCCTTTTGCCACAGAGTACAATAAAGAATAAGCAATCTGACCAGCAGCACCAGTTACAAGCACTCTCAATGGTTCAGCCTATAATAAAATATACATACATGACATACATTATTTCTTTTTATGCTATCAACTAAAATACATTTTTCAGAACTTAGCTTATCTAACAACATGAAGCCTTTTTTTTATTGTGAAAAGCCATTCCTCGATCTATAGAAGTAGATATAGTTAATCCATCAAGATTATTCTTTGGTCAATTGATGTCAAATTTAAAGCATGGTATATAATCTTATATTCATGTAATTATTTCTGAAAAATAACCTCATTTCATCTACCAACATACCCAATTTGCCTCACAGAAATGCAATGCAGCAACATCAACATTATTTACCTCTTGGCAACACAAAGTATATAAAAGATTCATATATTTCCAAGCCACCAAAAACAATTATTCCAGTAAGTCATCATATTCCAATCATACCTGTAGAGTTCAATTCTCTTTTTTTTTTTTATTAATGTTTATATCTAATTCCTTGTCAATAACACATAAAAACCTAAACTGACCATATTATTGACCAAATAACATTATTCAGTTATCTATAGGGTTAAACAACTCAGGGTGCAAACAGGAATCAGGGAAAAAACGACCTTAGATTTGATGGAAGAAATGTGGACACAGTCACAGGGTAAGCCTTATTTGTTTCCTATAGTATAGTCTATACAAAATTCATGAAAAGGGAGGATAATTAGCTGATAAAGTAACGAAATTTTATTGGTATCTGTGGCATAGAAAATAATAAAATGAGATTACTTCCCACACACCCCTTCGACGGGACATAATTTGAAGCTGATGCTGACGTGCATCGGTCACTACTAATATGCAAATGAAGGTTGACAACCATTTGAAGGTCGTTCCGCACTGTCTATGTCTCGACTAAGATCGTGCTTGACATACAACTTGTCATTTCGCTACAAAGCATTAAATATTGCAAATATATGTTCGTTAAAGCTTTACATTAATTAAACCCTAAGAAATCTATACCATATTTGTTTCTTTTCCTGTTTTCTACAAGCGTAAAATAGAGACACACTTCCTCTCACCGGCTGAAAAGGTCAAGGACTCTCAAATTGTAATGCTCGAACCCAAATTCCGGTATGTTTGCGGTTTTCTGGATTAAAAATTGATAGAAGTTTTTGATACTTTGCCAACATATTAGTAGAGTTTACATCATGCTATTTTCAAAAATACGATAAAAATATTACGCCATGGAGCCTTTTTTTCAAGCTACAGATATTGGGTGTCTTAAACTGAGACTATTATACAGTATTACTAATACGACTGAATTTAATAAAACAGGTACTTATTTTAAAACCATTTATATATTGAAATTTCATTTGACCATATTTATTCTAAACTACAAAATGAAAAAAAATCATGCTTTATTCTGGAAAAACTGTGATGTGTTACCTGAGTTTGAGAAGGCTATCACTGCATTTCAACATGCATTTATAAAATACTATTACCTGAGACTACTATAACAGTTATAGTAGTCTCAGCTATTACCAAAGACATAAAATACAATTAAATTAAATTGTATCATATGTCTCTGCTATTACATACTGAGATTACATATAAAAATATGGTATTAATTTCCCATTGGCACGCGATGCTTTCTAGTATCGAAGAAAACTGAAACTACACTCGTATTTTTCCCACCTAACAGAAGTTCCCCTGGAACTTAAAAACAATCCAATAATATGTCTAATATGCGTTCCTGTTGGAACACTGGCCGTCCTACACTACTCACACACAGTGATACTACGAATCAGTATATTCTAGTGCTTTGAACGCGGAATAGAATGTAGCTTGAATTTATGATGCACATTGGCACATATCTAGTCCAAATTCATCATCTATTTACAAACAGAATTTATCTCATTACACTACACATTTAATATTGTAATAATGTCCAATATTGTTCATATCTTATTTTGAACTTTCATTCAAACGGTTGTTTACACATGTCTCTTGGATGATGATATTTATTATTTGTTAAAACTTTTACTATGATGTTTATGTATTTTGCTTGATAATGACCTATAATTGGTTTAATAAAGTGTCCGAAGATACAAATGACCGCTAGAACCAAAACTCATAAGTCAGAGAGAGACCGAAAAAATCGTGTAAAAAACGAAAATCGACGGAAGTATTTAATACGTACATGGGGGACATATACTTGCCTCCCCATGCCGCTAAACTTATATTTGCTTGAGAGCGACACATCTATTGCCATGGCACGTTTATTCAGAAGAGACAGATAACATCACATCACAAATACGGACCCTGGGCGAACAGGTATTAGGGCGAACAGGTGTTAGCTAGGGCGAACATGAATCAGGGCGAACGAACCCGGATTCATCATCATACAAATCAAATCAAATCAAATATTTTATTATTCCAATCATGGTCCCACAGGGGGCATTTACAATTAAAAATTATGATAGTATAAGCAACAAACATGAGACATTGTACAGTATATAACGTGACAGTATTTTTTTTTTCTTACCTTCCTTATGTCCAGCAGTGTAAAAAAAAAAAAAAAAAAAAAAAAAAAAAAGTATTAGTAATAAAGTTTGAACAAACTTAAATTATTATACAAAGGGACACAACTCTCACGACTTAACTACAAAACACATATATAACAGAAGACAAACAACAATCTACAAAACACTACATCACATCCAACGACTTAGCAACATGAACCCCACCAAAACCAGGGGTGATCTCAGGTGCTCCGGACGGGTCAGCAGATCCTGCTCCAACATGTGACACCCGTCTAATGTTTAATGTTCTCACTGTAAGATGGAATCATTTTTATTGTCCATAATTGATTATCTGGTGCTTCAGGGAAATCGACCTCAATAGGATATCTGACATAGCTGGTGCTTCGGGGAAATCGACCTCAATAGTATATCTGACATAGCTGGTGCTTCGGGGAAATCGATCTCAATAGTATATCTGACATAGCTGGTGCTTCGGGGAAACGATCTCAATAGTATATCAGACATAGCTGGTGCTTCGGGGAAATCGATCTCAATAGTATATCTGACATAGCTGGTGCTTCGGGGAAATCGATCTCAATAGTATATCTGACATAGCTGGTGCTTCGGGGAAATCGATCTCGGTAGTATATCTGACATAGCTGGTGCTTCGGGGAAATCGATCTCAATAGTATATCTGACATAGCTGGTGCTTCGGGGAAATCGATCTAGGTAGTATATCTGACATAGCTGGTGCTTCGGGGAAATCGATCTAGGTAGTATATCTGACATAGCTGGTGCTTCGGGGAAATCGATCTCAATAGTATATCTGACATGGCTGGTGCTTCGAGGAAATCGATCTCGGTAGTATATCTGACATAGCTGGTGCTTCGGGGAAATCGATCTCAATAGTATATCTGACATAGCTGGTGCTTCGGGGAAATCGATTTCGGTAGTATATCTGACATAGCTGGTGCTTCGAGGAAGTCGATCTCAATAGTATATCTGACATAGCTGGTGCTTCGAGGAAATCGATCTCAATAGTATATCTGACATAGCTGGTGCTTCGGGGAAATTGATTTCAATAGTATATCTGACATAGCTGGTGCTTCAGGGAAATCGACCGCTTTAATTTTATGGAGTGTACATTTCTCTGTTGGTTCGAAATACGCGTGTTTGCAGTGACGTCTTAGATTTCAATCAATATACATGTACATGTAGATCTTCTTTTGTCATTACTAAAAGTCATTAAATGGTTAGAAATTTCCAAATTTTTTTCACAAACGTGAATATTTCAACTTTCCAATTGTCAACGTTCCATTTTGCAGCAGTAACATACGTTCTGTCAATTAATTCGTATGGTGTTTACATATCTCAATTAATTACGTTACACTCGGGCATATTCACACTATACGGATTAATTATATGTGTTCTCCTTATGTAAAAACTGCCCTAACATAGTTATGAGGAAGAACGACTGAAATCTTCATTACATTTTAAGTTTAACGGTCACCATCACAAAAGGGTTGACCGATGCGATGTGTCCATGTCCCATCCCACTAGCGACAGTGTATGTTTGGCCATGAATGATCATGAAGTATAGTTTATAATACGGGTCTCAACCTTTGCAGTTCACAGATATGCACTGAACTCCTCTAAAAGCACTCACCGTCCACACATGATATCCAATCTGAATAAATATCAACAAGCATATTTAGTCCACGTAAGACCTTGATTTATAACAAAAACTTCATCCAACAACAGCATCAACAATCATAATAATATAGTAATAGAACGCAAAGTAACAACACTTGAACTTACCAGAAGAATGTTATCTTTGAATATTTACGTTAACAAATTCAATAGAACATTTTAAAAACTTTTTTTAAAGTCAAATAACACAGAAACGGACAAGGGAACAAATACAGAAACTTTACCAAATGTACATGAAGAACTAGACATTCCATTTACAGAAACTGAATTAGAAAAATGCTTTAGACGATTGAAATATGATAAAGCTACTGGGTTCGATAATGTCATGAATGAATATTTAATTGCTGGAAAAACTGTACTTATTTCCAATATTGTGTAAACTTTTTAATAATATTCTTAATTCGGGAAATTTCCCTGAAATATGCGTGAAAAGTATTATCGTACCTGTTTTTAAAAAAGGACATGCGAATGACCCTAACAACTACCATGGAATTTCTTTAGTATCTCATGTTGGGAAATTCTTCACCTCGTTGCTGAATACAAGGTTTCTACAATGGAGTGAAAAGAACAATGTGTTGACAGATGCACAATTTGGTTTCCGTCCTGGATTTGGAACAGTCGATGTTGGAACAGTCGATACCGTCTTTGCCCTTTATTCCCTTACCACTAATTCTCTAAGTGAAAGTAAACGTTTATACTGTTGCTTTGTAGATTACACCAGAGCTTTTGATACTGTCACGCATTACAAATTATGGCAAAGGTTAGTACTCAGATGTGGAATACCTGGAAGGCTATTAAATGTCGTTAAATCTATGCTATGCATAGCAAATTAAAAACCTGTGTAAAACATGATGGAAAACTTCCTGAATTTTTTTAATGTTCTGTTGGCCTAATGCAAGGGAATCCTTATCCCCTCTCCTGTATTCATTATATGTCAATGATATGGAGATAGAACTTATTACACAAAATTGTAAATCATATGAACTTAAAATGTTAATTAAATCTGTATTTGTTAATGTACGCTGACGATATGATCTTATTTAGTGAAAGTATAACTGATCTACAAAAGATGATCGATACTGTAAATGTTTATTCGAATGAGTATGATTTATACATAGATTTGTCAAAAACAAAAATTGTAGTTTTTAGAAACAGAGGTCAAATTAGACCAGAAGAGCAATGGTATATAAATGGAAAAGCTATTGATATATGTAACGAGTTTCAGTATTTAGGCATTTTGTTTTATTATACTGTTAATTTTGCAAATACCCAATAGAAACTATCAGAACAGGGTAAAAAGGCTGTTTTAGCATATTTAATAAAATGCATGACGATTACTATAATCATGAAACTTTGTTGTCATTATTTGATACTTATGTAGCAAGCATATTGAATTATTGCTCTGAAAGATGGGGATTTCATATGGCACCAAATATCGAATAAGTTCATTTGTATTTTTTAAAACGTATTCTTAAAGTCAATATTAGTGCTGTAACTAATATGATTTATTGTGAATCAGGTAGATTGTCTATATCCATTGAAAGGCAATATAGAATGGCCAAAAATTTTCAAAACTCAATAGTCGAAGAAAAAATGCCAATGCCACGGCAAAAGACAAAAATAACAAAAATACAGAACAAGTCAACTAAATACTACTTAAAAAATTAAAGATTTCACTAGAAACTGGGGGTGAACTTAGGTGCCGGGAGGGTAGGTAGTTCCTGCTCCACAACTGGCACTCGTAGTGTTGCTGTTTGCGAAGTACATGCGGTCAACATAGTCGTCAAACTTAGAATTATCTAGTGGGAGGAAATCATCTCTCTATACATGTTACAGGCATTTTCTAAATTTAAGCATTTTGTAAAATGCCTGAAAACTTTAGACATTTTCTAGAATGCCTGTAAGATTTAATTAGGCAATTTATGTATTGACTATTTTTTTCAGGCATTTCACATAACATGCATAATGCCTAGAAAAATTGAAAGGCATTTTACAAAATACCCGAATTATTTTATAGAATAAAATGTTCACAAAAACTGAGCGATTGAAAGTATAAAACAACACAGACATTTTATCTATGAAATATATAACTGAATTTTGACGCTTGCATTTAACGAGATTTAAACTGAATTATTTATAATTCACACACGTACTGAACTCGATAGTTATTTGTTATTTCATAAAATATGTGGATGGCAGGTTATATTGTACATTTGTCCTGATTTTTTGGCAACTACGTCGTTTGGCGTTAAATCTGGTCTTGGCACTACAACTTCATTTGGTGAAACCCAGACCAGTGACACTTCCAGCACTGTCAACATTTAAACGTTTGAAAAACATGGGGTTTCGAAAACAGAACACACATGCATATCTTCTTTTCATGTGTTTCCAAATAATTTGAAGTGACTAGATTAACTTGCATCTCTTGGGTTATCAGAGCATTAGCAAGGTTGACTCAGATATTCGCATAGTGGGTTATGCATGCATATATAGCAGGAGACGCTTAGCCTTTGGACGACCTTGAGTTGTCTCTTCTTGGTTCATTGTTTTATCATAGCATCAATATGCTACTGTCGCTTTAATTGATCAGATTATAAAGACATAAGAATGTCATTCAAGCTTGAGGCAGTAACGATGAAGATACTCATATCTTTACTATACAACCAAACACGACCTTGTATGGTGAAACCAATGCTTTAGAAGGGAATTCGTTTTGCTTTACAACATGTGTATAAATTTTCATTTTTTCGGAATGGGGACATTGAATATCATGCCTTGTGTTTGAAAAGTGCCACGCTCTCTGAACGTTAAGAACTCTTCCTCTAAGGTGGCCTGTTGTATTAAAGGTAACATCTGTTCCTATCCAACATACCTTCATTTTAAAGTGGCAGTTAAAATTCTTGTCCTTTATCCGATCAATCCATTGCAGGAATTACTTTTTGATTTATTATCAATTTGTTCTCGCCCTAAATAAGCATAAAACATTTGCCACTGAACGCAAACAAACAACAATCAGTCCATCAAACAACGGCCTTTTTTTCTCTACTTCATATATCACACTTATGTTTTGAATCTAGATTTTCTAAAACAATGTTTGTAAATTTGTTTTATAGTAAGAACAATTTGTCCTTCTGTACCCATGACAATAAAGTCAAAATTACTATCTAAAATACAAAGAAGTACAAACGTAAAGTAGTTTCACTTTACAAATACCTATGACATACATACAAAAGTTCCCAGTTGGTATCATTGGAGAATAAAATTAATTTCTCTGTACCATAAGCTATTTTCTTTGTAAGATATTGTGTATTTTTTCATATATCTCAATGATACACGTTTTGTACAAATTACTTGAAAATGAATGTAGGCAATTTGTTAAATTTTGTTTAAAAATTCCACGACTAGGTATTTTTAGTCATTTTATAATATAATATGTAATGCCTGTCAAGGTTAGGCATTAATGACCTATAGTTGCTTACGTGTTTTGGTCTCTGGTTGATATTTGTATCATTGACAATCATACCACATCTCCATATGTAAAATTGAGAATGGAAATGGGGAATATGTCAAAGAGACAACAACCCGACCAAAGAGCACACAACAGCCGAAGGCCACCAATGGGTCTTCAACGCAGCGAGGAAATCCCGCACCCGGAGGTGGTCATCAGCTGGTCCCTCGATAAAATTGTGTACTAGTTCAGTGAAAATGGACGTCACCCTAAACTCACTACAGATATAAATGAACTAAAATTTAAAAACAGACAAGACTAACAAAAGCCAGAGGCTCCTGACTTGGGTCAGGCGCAAAAATACGACGGGGTTAAACATGTTTTGTGAGATCTCAACCCTCCCCCCATACCTCTAGCCAATGTAGAATAAAGAAACACATAGCAATACGCACAGTAAAACTCAGTTTAAAAGAGGTCCGAGTCCGATGTCAGAATAGGTAACAAAAGAAACTTAAGCAAAATGACAATGGTACATAAATGAACAAAGGACTACTAGCAGTTACTGACATGCCAGCTCCAGACCTCAATTAAACTGATTGAAAGATTATAACTTCATCATATGAAAATCAAGTCCAATCCCTCCCTTTAGGGGTTTAGTATCATACCATCATAAAATATATAAAAAGAACATAACCCGTATCATGCCAACAACTGGTTTTAGAATAAATGTGTTTATTTCCGATACAAAGACCCTATGAGTGAATCAATATTAATACCAAAATATGTAATCCTTAATGAATTGACAACAATATCGTAACTATATCCTTTCCGAATAAGTCTGTTTAAAGGTTTGGTTAGCTTTTGAGGTGAATGCCGACATTTTTGTGCTTTGTAAAGAAAATTACCGTAAAATATTGGATGTGAAATACCTGAACGTATAAGATGTCTGCATGTTGATTTATATTTACGAATGATGTCCTTGTACCGATTATAAAATTTAGTAAATGTTTTGACCCGTTTGTGATATCGAAAACCCTGATGTAATAATTTTTCAGTAATACAGAGATTTCTTTCGTTGAAATCAAATACGTTGTTACATACTCGAGCGAATCGAACAAGTTGGGATATATAAACACCAAAGATGGCGACAAGGGAACGTCACCATCTAAAAATGGATAATTAACAAAAGGAAATGAAAAATCATCTCTTTTATCATAAATTTTGGTATTAAGCTTCCCGTTAAAGATAAATATATCAAGATCCAGGAAAGGGCGGTGTTCATTGTTAGTATTAGCTTTATTTAAAGTTAGTTCGGCAGGATAAATCTCTTTAGTGTACATACTGAGGTCGTCATTATTGAGAGCCAATATATCATCTAAATATCTAAAAGTGTTATTAAATTTTTGAATCAGATGTTGTTTCGATGGGCCTTTGCTGATTTTAGTCATAAATTGTTACTCATAACAATACAGAAATAGATCCGCAATAAGTGGTGCACAGTTAGTCCCCATGGGAATTCCGATAACCTGACGATATACGGAATCTCCATAGCGAACAAAAATGTTATCTAGTAAAAATTCAAGGGCAGTTATAGTATCAAAGCAGGTCCAATTGACATAGGTCTTTTGTTTGTTGTTACTAAAAAATGACCTAAAAGAGTTTGAACATATATATTCGCATTCCGACTTTTTAAATGCCCATTTAATTAGGTGTGTGAATTTTTCCTTAATAAGATTACGAGGCAACGTGGTATATAGGGTAGAAAAATCAAAACTTTGAACAGATTCGAAATCACCAATATAAGCATGCAATTTATACCTTAGTAAATACATCAAAATCATCTGGGTTAGATGGTATACCTGATAGTTGTCTCTTTGACAATCATACCACATCTCCATATGTGTATACCTTAGTTAATACATCAAATTCATCTGGGTTAGATAGTATACCAACAGAAAACATACACATGTTAACTTTAATTGGCTGAAAGACGAATCATTCGATTCTGTTGTATATTTTCATTTCGCATGAAAGCTACCCATGGTCTGGAAACAAGATTATGGAACTATTAGCTCCGCCCCTTATTAAACACTTTGTGAACACTGTTTTCGCGTGGTTTGTGTACTTCGTGCAAACGATAATGGTTTTAAAAAGACAATATACATTGCATTATGAAAATATGGATACTTTATATAAATATTTTACAATATGCATTATCTACATGTACATATAAAATATCATTTTCGAGGTATCCAGGAATTTGTAAATTCCATCAACGGATTACATATACCGCCGAGCAAGTGAGACGAAAAAATTTTTGGACGATTTTATGCGAAAACACCAAATAAATCGTGAAAAAATTATGATATAAAATATTTTGGGAGCGATGAAAAGTGGGGCGCACGCACTCTATATGCCCCTGAATCGGCCACCACTGGTATCTACGTTGAAATCTTTATTATGTCAATTTCAGCTTATAAGAGTGACGTATAATTAACTGCTCTCGTCTTACGAAACAATTTCTACCTATTTTTTTAGTATTTTAAGTTTTACCGTTTCAGATTTGAAATGTTATAAAAACATAATATATATAACGACTAATATACGACTAAATTGATTCGTATCTAGAAACTATGTAAATACAAAAATAACACGTTGTGTTTAAAAAAACCCAACATTTTACATGATTTAAAGGAATTGAAAAAACTTTGCAATTTTAAAAATGAATTAAGTCATAAACAATCGCTTTTTACACTGGATTGACATGTACACGAAGTCATATTCATATATTAAGGACCATGCTTTTTTTTGTATCAGAAATTATATTTGAAGAGTTTTATAATTCATTTGTAACTATATTTTCGAAATTTTTTTTAATTCATTTGTAACTATACTTTCGAAAGAATTTCTCGCCCCACCCCACCCCAACCCTCAGTCACCACCCCCCTCTTTTTGTCAAAAAATCAAAATGTTCTGTTGTTACTTCCCCTTGTAAACTTTCTGGCTTTAGAGGTTGATTTAGTGTGCAAACGGGAAATTTACATACCATGCCAATCACCAAATTCGTGGCCAATCAGATAGTTTGTTTCATTTATTGTCACCGCCCAAATTGTACTTTTTCCCTTCGAAATTTTCGAAGACTCTACGGTATTATCCTTATTTTTTTGCCTTATGTTATGTTTGAAGACATATTTTCACCATCATCAGTTAAATTAATTACTTAATTTTCATTGTCAAACAGATTTTCGGATTAAAGAAGTGATGAAGTGGTAGAAAAACGATCGTTTTCTCCCCCTCTCTCGGTCGGCGCGAAGTTCACATTGTGCTGTTTCACGCTACAATCAAATGACCTCGTTGTCAGACGGAGATCGAAGACATAGCAGTCTTGAGCATAATAATTAGTTTTCGAAGTTTACATGTGTTAATTTTAGCTGACATTTTATGACACATCGACTTAAGATTCTGTCACAGCATGAAGAAAGCTATTTTATGTCTTATTTGACAGTTTCAACAAAAATTTCTTTGTGATTCCCTCCAAAAATTTCAACAGTTCATTATGCCGCTATTACGAAAACAGCCATTTCACCGACAACCAGTACCAACTGCCCTTCAGCCTGATGACGATGTATTCCATTGTAAACTGACAAATGAAATCTTCAAAGATTATGAGTAAGTTTATTTTCTTTGCCCTGATTCTGTGAACGTTATTAATCTAATGTATGAAAATGTTATTTAGCTTTCTGTCGGCCATTTTGTATCCTTCCTTTCTGAATTTACACCAAATAACAGAAATATGCTCCACTATAAATTTTTGTTTGTTTGTTATGTAACTTAGAACATGATGAAATGGGGGATTGTCTTATTTAGATTAGTATTTAACTGATAAATGTGTATTTGGTCAATCTACTCTTTGATATTATGCATATAAGTTATAAACAAACTTGCATGAACCTGGAGTTGTGTCTTTATACTTAAGCATGTGTGAAGGATTCGTAGAATATTTTTGTGTGAGTTACTCCGTCTGAATTTAAGGCGTCCAATACTGCCTTTCCAGGTAATTGGCACGTATGCTCAGCTGTATGCTCGGAAATATCTATGGATGGACAAGTGCTATTTTATTTTTCATGATTGCTTCGTATCACGGTGCGGAGCTATTAGTTTCAGTCGATATACACGCCATCTTGAAATAATTACTCATCACATAAAGATTCTGATTGGATGCTTTATGGTTCGGCTGAGATACAGCAACAGCTATTGGCTTAAATGAGATAAAGAATTACAGACTTTTCTCGTCTCAGGATAAGACATCAAATGCCGGAAAATTAACTATGTGTATTTCAGTTCCGATCATTATTAATTCATGTTCGTTATATTATGCAAATATTGCACACTGAAATTCAATATTGAAATATCAATTTATTTTAACACCTGTTTATTTGCTTTGTTAATCTGTAATATTCATGATTGGTTTAGCTAAACAATGTTCCTATACATGGTTTACAAAAATGCATTATCTGTATTATTTTATAACTTCTGCCAATCTGGGCACACCTCCAGAGAGGCACACCTCCAGAGAGGCACACCTCGAGAGTCTTGTTTTGTAAATGTTTAAAATTTCAACAAGTAAATCGAAATTTTTTTTTAAAAGCATGGGTGTTTAATGTACAACATTGAACAGCCAGTTTAAAATTTTAGAAAAGTTCATCTTAATATACATGATATATTTACAAAAATTGATATTCCAAGTCTAAGACACCCATTTTATATCAGTCAATATCTAAGAAATACCACATTTCCAATACTAAATCAACAACCACATGCACATGTATTACCTTAAATTAGGATAGAGCGAAGCAGTCCACAGCTTTTTAAAAAGCTCAAACTTGTTTTATTATTAGTTTTCACAGGGGAAAGATAAAGAAGTTCGTGAGCATATCTGCCTATTACAATATAATGGTCAAATAGAATAAAACTTGCAGTCCCATCGTTATCAGTATTGAGACTCAAATTGTGTATCCTATACATTATGTACATAGTACTTTGTTAAAAATCTTTACATCAAGGTTAAGATTTAAAGGTGCGTTTGATTAATAACTCTTTGGAATGCTTAAGGCAAGGGTTTTTTATTTTGTTGGTTAGGAACCTGCCTGTCTACATGAATTTATAAATGAAAGATTTTCAGAGAAAACTGTTGTACACTTTTTTGTCAACAGTTTTTTGAAATATTTCAACTAAATGATAAAGTTTTTCAGACAAAAAATCCATGAACTAAGAAATGAAAAAAATGGCTTAATAATTATTTGAGATAGATTTCTTCGAAGCTTCCAAAAATGTTTTTTAAGACTGTTGGACAAGTCCTACAGTTATGTTGTCTGGTAGGAATATTGTCAACTCAACTGTCCAAATGTCTGTAAAAAAATAAAATATTGATCCCATATTTTATAGCCGACATCAAATTAGAATATGTTTAAATATCTTTTTTCTTGTCACCAACATTGTTATTTCACCTAAAATATTGAGTTTGAATGTCCCTCTGGTACGTTTGGCCTCTCTTTGTCGTAGAAAAAATGTAAGACTTATCGTAGATTAAGGTATTATTGCTAATTACATGTATATATATATATATACATTCTATGCAGATAAACATTGTCATTTTTTTGGATGAAATATTTTTTGTTTTAGTTTCTCTAATAATTCTATATTGGCAGAATACAAATTTACTCATTTTTTGGATACCTTGATAATTTACAAGCTTAAGTTAGAATCATTCCAATGTTTGAAAAAATGCCATTTAGTGTACATTTTTTTTTGTAGTTTTCAGAAGGAATTGTAAAATTGAAAAGTCGAAATCTGGATATGGTGTACTAATTTTTGCACCTTTTGTTTGCGGTATACCATCTTTTCCGCAAGTTTATTGTTTTCTGTTTGGTATTAAATTAATAATTTTAAAAGATCCATTTTGTAACATCTTGTGATCCGTTTATTTGGCAACCGCCAATGGCAGTCAGCAGGGTTTAAGAACATCAGGTCTGTTGTTCGACCTGTTAGTCAAATGCGTTTTGTGAAAATATACTTTTTCACTTTTTTGGTCTTTTGGAAAATGTTGTTTGTGCTGTATTTAGATCCCTCTATCAAGAAAATTGTTTAGCATGCACACGTATAAAAATTGCGGTTTTTATCCAACGCAATCATAGGTTTGAACGTTGCTTTCAATTTAGACTTGTATATATATATATATATAAACACCCTAAAACAGTCCTCACGCTTAACCACAGGCCCAGCAGCCAAAGGCTTGTAAATTTGCTTGCGGGTCTGTCAAAATCATCTCTACAGGCCCACAGAATCTAAATAAAATTTTCCAAAAATTGAACTTTGGGCCTGTAGATTTAAAAGTTTATCGTGAAGACTGCTAAAGGGTTAAAATGAACAAAGTTTTTATATATATATTCTGAATAATTAATTGCCACTGGACGTTAAGCAACCAACAATCAATCAATCTGAATAATTACTTTATTAATTAGTGATATAAATGCTAGAATTGTTTAAACACTTTTTAGCAATGAACTACATGATGCCAGTAAAACTGCATTAGCAAACATCAATTGACCAAGGCAACTCTTCTGAATACAGTACTGCTATTGTTTAAATATATATCTTTTTAGCTCACCTGGTTCAAAAGGCCAAGTGAGCTTTTCTCGTCTCTTGGCGTCTGTCGTAGTTGTCTGTTTACTTTTACAAAAATCTGCTCTGAAACAGCTTGGCCAAATTTAACCAAACTTGGCCACAATCATCATTGGGGTATTTAGATTAAAAAAATATGTCAGATGACCCCCGCCTGCCAACCAAGATGGCCGACATGGCTAAAAAAAGAACATAGGGGTAAAATGCAAGTTTGTCTTTTATTTTGAAAACCCTTATAAATAAAGAATATCTGACAGGAGCAAACATGTTTAGAATGTTGAGATATTGCCTATCTTCTTCAAAACTGTCAGACGACTTCTTATAGGAGTTATTGCCCTTAAAAGTTCAATGATAAATTTTACCTTTTTTTTTTCATTGTTGCCTATTATCTTAAAAAGCTATAAAAGATACAGAGAAACTTTATATTGCAAAAATGATCAGCAAGACAAGTTTTACAAATAAGTCTAACAAGGTAGGAATCGTCAGTCGACTCTTATTAAGAGTTATGCCCTTTGATGACGATTTTTACCAATTTTTTGCCTTGTATCTTAAAAATTATAATAGATAGATAGATAGGTAGAAATTTAAATAAGCAAAACTGATCAGCAAGACAAGATCTACAATTTAAACAGTACAGAGGAAATGGTCCAATGACTCCTTATTGGAATTCTTGCCCTTTAATGACGATTTTTTCCATTTTATTTGTGTTTTGCCCCATATGATTAAAATTATAATAGATAAATAGACACTTTAAATCACAAATATGATCAGCAAGGCAAGATCTACTAACAAGTCAAAGTGTGCCGATATAGTTAGTAGAATGTCACTTTATATAGGAGTGATTGCCCTTAAAATAGGATTTTTTTTAACCTCCTTTGTGTTAAGCAATGATACGCTGCCGCAATACAAGCAATACAAGATCAACAAAACAGATATTTTTGTCCTGAATTCTATTTTTGTCTACAATGTTGGAGAGTATCCTTTGTTGAATATGCACAAAGACCAAGGTGAGCGACACAGGCCCTTTAGAGCCTCTAGTTTGTGCTGTGGATTCATTATTATTAGTGGGATACCAATTTACGAGGATTTCGTAGAAACAACAATGACAGCCTTCACGATTAACTTTTGAATCTACAGGCCCATAGCTCAGATTTTTGAAAATTTTACTTAGATTGATTCTGTTGGCCTGTAGAAAAGATTTTTACAGGCCCAAAGCTAAGGCAATTTTACAAGCCTGGGCTGCTGGGCCTGTGGTTAAGCATGAAGACTGGTCAATGTACAGGTGAACGACAAATATAATTGTTCACCAAAGTACAAATTTCTATTGGCTTGTAAGCTTTTCAATGATCAAATTTGTGTTTGTCAAACTGCTATATATCCATTGAATTTTTTCCGATAAAGTGTGTGGTTCTTGAAAGCTTTTTGAAATTTTTATATTTTGTCAAAGGGTCAAAAGTAAATATTTTGTCAAAATTTTATGAAAATCAAACAACCTAAATTAATTTTAGTCAAGGTGTTTGGTACCACCTTAAGCTACCAAAAATTGGTACTCACGAAAATAAATGAGTCCAATGTATTGCATTTGTAATTTAGCACTAATTCCATCATAAAATTTTATGGAACTTTGGAAACCTTATCATCATTAAGAGATACATGACAAATGTACATGTAATGTTGGAGTCCAAATTTTGAAAATATAATTTTCATTTTTCCATATTTTATTGATTAGTGAACTTCGAATTTCTTTGCAATTAAAATTTAGCCAGTCAGGGATAACATTTTTGAGACATCAATAAATTTGTTAGACCTTCATGGAATGTTTTGAAACTTGAAAATAAGCTTATTCAAGATCAAGAAATAGCATCTGGTGAATTTTAATTTTCTAAAATTTTCCATGTATTTTACTGATAAAATGACATACTTTTTTGGAGATCAACATTACACTTTTACACTGACAGACAGCTATGGAAAGCCTCAGCTGTCATATA